ACAACCCTGGCGGAGTCCAACGCTAACACTGAAAGAGCCTGACTTAATGCCAAGTATATGAACACAGCTCTCACTCCGGGAGTACAGAGGTTGAATGGCCCGGAGTAGTAGCTCTGGCACCCCATACTCCCAGAGGACTTCCCACAAGACATCTCGGGGGACTTGGTCGTAAGCCTTCTTCAAATCCACAAAACACATGTAGACTAGGTTGGCAAACTCCCATGCCCCCTCAACAATCTGTGAGAGGGTGAAAAGCTGGTCCATTGTTCCATGGCCGGGGCGGAATCCACATTGTTCCTCCTCAATCTGAGGTTCAACTATCAGTCGAAGATTCCTTTCCAGCACCTTGGCATAGACTTTCCCAGGGAGGCTGATCAGTGTGATACCTCGGTAGTTGGTACACACCTTCCAGTCCCCTTTCTTAAAAATAGGGACCATCACCCCGGTCTGCCAGTCCAAGGGTACTGTTCCCGAGGTCCATGCAATGTTGCAGAGGCATGTCAGCCACGACAGCCCCACAATATCCAGAGCCTTAAGCATCTCCAGACGAATCTCATCCACCCCCGGCGCCTTGCCACCAAAGAGCTTGCCAACTACTTCAGTGACCTCCACCAGGGAAATGGAGCTTGACACACCAGAAGCCTCTGGTCCTGACTCCCGTGAGTGCACTCACATGCCCTTCTCCACATCACCAATGACAGACCTGAACATATATACAAACACATAATCACTGACCGGTTAGAGAAGTAGACAAGCAGAAGTCTGTCTTTCCAAGGCTTGTGAAGAACACAACTGTAGCTCAGCTCTTCACCAACATTAGCTCAAATTCAATCAGACTCAGATGTTCGCTGCTGTTAATGTTGTGTCAGTAATATTAGAAATATTAAAGCACTTATTTACTGACTTAATTCCCATAACTAGATTTACCTGTCTTTGATTTATGACTTGGTTCGATTCTGAATCAGCTGTATGTTTACCCTCAGCAATTCATACTGCTGATGTTGAAGTAGCATCTCAAATTTCAGTGGGACTCTAATAAGGTACACTAATAAGATACTAATAATAATAACCACTCCATCAAACGGTCATTCTTGAAGCACATTTTCATCAAGTCCTGGCATGTTAACCTTGTCCGAGTCCCTCTGAAACGATGAACTTGAGATGCTATTTCGACATCAGCAATATGTTTTCTGCCTACAGAGATCAGAATCTAACCAAATCAATAAATCAAAGACTCATCTTGGTTATATCTAATCATTCTAACCAGTTATATCAATTATATAAGCACTTACTGTTTGCAGGAATCATATCAGTATTCTGTCAGTTCTAAAGTTTGTACAGCACCACCCTCATGAAACTACTGCTTTCACTGTTATTGCACAGATTTAGTGAAAGTGCATATTTTGTTAAATGAGTAATCTTTGCAATTACATAACACACAACAGTTTTGACTACTTATGTGTAAATAAAAGGTGGTGTAATTAGTGATTGCATATCTCAAAATAATGTGCAATGCTATTGCTATCCAGTTTATATTCTTCTTTATCTTTTTTCCTTATTTTTCTGCTGGATTTTTTCCCGCTAATTAATCCCACAGTTTTCTTGTATCAACACCGTTCCAACAGTTCAGTCTGATTGGGAATGGTGTTCTTGTATACAGCTTTTTAATCTGATGTATGATTTTCCTACAATCTTCTTTAGAAGGAAGAATGGAGTAAAAAGTTGTATGTCCATCTACTGTACTTCTGCTCAACTGAAATACTCCGTTTTGCATATACTGTCTCAGGGCAGGCCCCCGAGCATGAATTCAGTGTTATTCTGACCCGCATTCTGACTCACCTGTTTGTCTTTTCTTTTTCATTCATTTTCAACAACACATAGCTACCACCTGACAACTCCCTACAAATGACTTAATAAACACCTCATACACCATGGCAACTCTTAGTAACAATTTAGCAACTGCATAGGATACCATAGCAACTGTCTAGCAGCCCCGTAGCAACCACCTGGTATACCACAGAAACCGCCTAGCAACTCCCTAGTAACTACCTGGGATACAATAGCAACCACCTAGCAACCACCTGGGAGATCATACCAAATGCCTTGCAACATAATAGCAACCACCTTGCAACACCTTAGCAACCATCTTGGACACCATAGCAACCTCATAGCTACACCTTAGCAACTTCCCGTGTTACCATTAGCAACCACCTAGCAACACATTAGCAACCACCTTGGATACCATAGAAACCTTTTAGCAACACCCTAACAACTCTCTGTTATACTATAGCAACCTTATAGCAACACTGCAGCAACCAGAAGTCTACAGCCATGCACATGGATACCATACCAAACACCTTGTAACACCATAGCAGTGACCCTGGACACCAAAGTAACCTCCTAACAACACCCTAGCACTCACTTTGGATACTACAGCAATCAGGGGTGTAAACAGTACTGAATACCTACCGTTCACTGTTGTCTACTGTAAGTACTGTTACTTCAGTGATCATTTACTCATGTGCAAGTATTAGTAAGCAAAATTACTCAAGTAAAAGTAAATAAGTAGTTTATTGAAAAAGTACTCGAGTTACTAAGTTTTCGTACTTCTGCTGTCACAACCTGAAAATATTTCTGAGTTGACTTGGCTACATCACTGGAAATAATCTGTACAGAAAAACACTAAAGCAAAACATGATATTATGTGGGGAAAAAAGTTCTCAGAGCTGAGACTGATCACAGTCCGCTCTGCTAGTGCACATTTACACACCTTTCTGTGAACTGTGTAAGGAACAAGGTTTACATTAAACTGCATGCATTTCATGGTTAGATAATAGACTTCCTAGTTTATCTGTCTTCAGTAAAGCATTTTAGAATCCCTGAAAGACTGTGCAGAGAATATTACTGTTTAATGAAGTTCATTTAAGAGAAAAAACTGAGTCAAAATTATGAGTAGATTGCTTAGTAATGTAATTTTAGTGAGAGTCCTGCTGCCCATTTTCACTGATTTTTTTCTACCATTAAAATCAGCAGGAACATCAGCAACTTACCCAGCTTGCTGATCACTTCATACAGAATCAGACATTATTACTTCATTTTACAGTTAAACAGCCTCTCACAGTTAAAGACAAACACCAAGGCAGAGAGGGAGGGGGGAAGAGAGACAGAGAGAGGACGGGAGCGGGAGAGAGAGAGAGAGAGAGAGAGAGACAGAGACAGAGAGAAGGTGAGAAGGGATCAGATCAGGCTTAAACAATGACTCATGAAGAACCTGTATTAGATTAGATTTCTTTTAGCTGTTCACAACCATTTATCTCCAAAACAGCAGCTAAACTAGGCTGTAAATGGGTAAACTGTAGGCTGTGAGCGACACCTGTTACCTAAATACCTGACAGACACTCATAATATATGCAGCAGATTTCAAGTTTAATAAATAAAAGCATTATAAAAGAAAGAAAAAAACCGTAAACACAGTACCTGTTTAGCTCGGATCAGCTAGCTAAGCTAAACAAGTAAACAGCCTCTCACAGTTAAAGATAAACACCAAGGCAGAGAAGGGATGCTATTTAGTGCTGTTGTTCGTGGTTTGGCACAACGCCTGAGTATTCTCAACTTGGCGCTGACATGTGATGTCAACTGAAAGTGGCAAGCAAAAAAAGTTCAAATCAGGCTGCTATTTCCAGCCATTTTATGTATGTAACCAAACAAAGCTCTGAAAACTCTCCAGGGACAATTTTAAGTTTTGTAAAGCGGCATATTAAACATTAGAACTTGTCCAAAGGGCACTATTCATTCTGAGAGAAAAAGGGGCAGCTGATTTGCACTTTGTTTAACTGGGATGGCCAAGCTTCACTCAAGGGTGGCACTGGCCCCCCTCGGATCTGCCCCGATCAGAACCATGTCTGAGTGTTTGTACGACACAAAGGGAGAAGGGAGAAGAAACTGGATCAGATAACCAGCTCAAATACTTGATAGAAAAAGGAGATGTTTCATTAATGTTGCCCCTTAAACTTAAACTGGGGGTAGAAAATCCATCTCAGGGGGCAAAGCCCGCTCTTGCCTCCTCGTGGCGCTGGGTGTGTGAGAGAGGGACCCAGCTTGTGAATAAAAATTGCTTCACTTTCAGGCAACCAATTTCTGAAAGAACTCGCCGCTGGGAAGCGATTTTTATTTACGAGCCGTGAAACAAACCAGCACTCCCTGTCCATCAGTTTTGTCTTTCGCAGACAATTCTGACGAGAATATCCTGTACACTGGGATTTTTGCCACTACTGGTAGACCCGTATGACCGTATGCTTCAATACACCTACAAATTCAGCTGTTTCCTTCACACTGTGGCCTTTGGCCCAAATTCAATAACTCCTTTTAGCTAATCACTAACATCTGCTTTGCGACCCATTTTCCACACATCGAATAAGACATTCACTGCTCTGTACCACCTCTCCTCAATCTATGAATCCCATCGCACACCCCACAGGTATTTATAGCCCGACCATCCTCGTGCAACAACATCTGCAGGAGCCTGAAGTTACTACCACCTTAAACACAAAAAGTGACTGATGTTTTGTCCAGGGAGCTTATTAAATTAAATTAAATTACATTTCAGAAAAATATTTGTTTTCTGATATGATTTTCTGGGTTTTTTTATTATTGTAACTCAAATTGTTTTGAAAGAAAGATAGAAAGGATAAACAAAGAATGTTATCGATACAGACAATTAAGCAATAAAGAAACAACAAAGAACAGAGCATTAGTTTGGAAGAAGCCATAATACAGTCACCAATGACAGTTCTGATAACTCACATTCAGGCAAGCAGTATAATACATGTAAAGTCAATTTGGTGAACTGACATTCATACTACTATGATCTGCATCCTTTCTTATGTAAATACATTCTACTTATACTAAAGAATATACCTTTCAAAAAGAAGAAACAAAGAAAAACATTTTGATTACACAATGCATAACAGGCTATTATGAATTCACTATTAATGCCAGAATTACATCCTCCTCCTCATCACTATCAGAAAACATTTTTTTGTGGACAACAAAGAAAAATAAAGAAAAAGGTAATGAAAACATGCAATTCAGCGTTATATGAGACTAACTAGCTCTTAGTTAAGTTTATGACAGTTTCTAATTGGAAGCAACATTATCATGACAACCTACACAGAATACCTTTTCAGTAATTAAAATTTAACTAAAAAATATGAATTATGACTCGTCTGAAAGTGCAAGATTTTTATCATATGACATGTCTGACTTCAGCCACTGGATGGCACTGTGGACACATGACAGAAGCAGAGTCTTTTATGAAAATTCACTTCTCTGCTTGGGAGCAGCATGCTTGGGCATGCTTCTTGAGCTCTCTGGGTCGTCATAAAGAGTTTTTGTCTTTAAGGTTAGTTTTAAGTTTATATTAATTTGAGACGGTAGCAGTTTCATGATAAAGGTTTCAACCATATCATGGCTTGATTCAAACAAGAAGGAAGAATTGTAGATTCTCTGGGGGGCTTCACAACTCTCTGGAGTGTTTATGGTGTGAAGGTGGGGAGGGGGGGGTTAAAAAAAATGACTTCCCATAAACAGTCGGAAAAGTCGATGCCTAGGTAGACTTGTTGGCTGGCTCCGTAGAGGGTGGTGGTTTAAAAACAAGTGTAAGCTTGGCATGTGACAGCAAAATGAGCCAGTTCTTTAGTAAACAGTGAATTTCAAAAGGAGAATTAAAAAATATATTATTTAAAACAATAATAATAAAGAAAATGGAGAAAAATCATCTCAACAAGTTAACATGGTTACAAAAACACGCTTTGCCTCTAAACCAAAACAAAGTGTTTGTCAAAACATCCAGCATTGCATCAGAAACATTACACTAGCTTAGATTTACTAAATTAAATTAAAAATACTGAATGTGGAGCCTCTTGATTGTTTTACACATATAATAGAAATAAAACTCATTTTGGGGAGAATATGCAGTACCACACCTTCTCATTGGGTGGATGAGCTTTAGGCTTGAATTTGTGTTCAGCACAGGAAATTACACTTAATTTTATGCTTAGGTTTTAAAAACTGCAAAAAAACAAGAGGTGGTTGTCACCAAAAAACAGACTGAAATTTGGCCTAGAATCACCGTTTCCTGTTGACTTTTACTCTCAGGCCGTGTTAAGGTTCCACTCATTTCTGCTGATTTCCAACACTGTCCTTAGTGCACTTATGTGTTTTTACAGTCTTTGAAAGCCTGAAATTCTTCCCACACTCTGAGCAGTGATACGGTTTCTCTCCAGTGTGAATGCGCTGGTGCTGTTGAAGAGCCCTCTGTCGAGTAAAATTCATCCCACACTCTGCACAATAATAAGGTTTTACTCCTGTGTGAACACGCTGGTGATCTTGGAGAGTCCTCTGTCGATTAAAACTCTTTCCACACTCTGAGCAGTAATACAGTTTTACTCCTGTGTGAATGCGCTGGTGATCTCGGAGAGTCCCCTGTCGATTAAAACTCTTCCCACACTCTGAGCAGTGATACGGTTTCTCTCCTGTGTGAATGCGCTGGTGTCTTTTGAGATGACTCTGTCGATTAAAACTCTTCCCACATTCTGAGCAGTGATATGATTTTACTCCTGTGTGAATACGCTGGTGTTTTTGGAGATTACTCCGGTCAGTAAAACTCATCCCACACTCTGAGCAGTGAAATGGCTTCTCTCCTGTGTGAATGCGCTGATGTGTTTTGAGAATACTCTGTTCAGTAAAACTCTTCCCACACTCTGAGCAGTGATATGTTTTCTCTCCTGTGTGGATGCGCTGGTGTATTTCGAGAGCACTCCGTACCCTAAAACTCTTTCCACACTCCAAGCAGTAGTGATTTCTCTCCTTGCTGCGTTTCTGTGTTTGTCTGCAAGATGTGTTCATGTGGAGGGTACCAGATGACGTTTCCTGAGTACGGGAATGTTGTCTGGACGCCATATTCTTTTATCTCAACTGTTTCAGCAGCTTAATTTTCCTCTTGGTGGAATGTCCTGACGTGTTTACGGAATCACATATAAGCTGGGTAGGAAAGTGCAAGAGAAGATTTGAAACAGGACGTCAGTCATTTCTAGAAGAAAGTGAAAAGAAAATATAAACTAAATTTGCAATTCAACAAAACAAGTCTAATGCAAATGCTTCACCTACACCAACTGGCAAAAGGTGTAAAGAATGAATCAACTTCAATGTCATGTGGAAAAACTCAATAACCTTATGATTTATATTCCTTAAATACCAAATAGACCACTGATGTTGGAAAACTGCAGGGCTAGTACAGCAGCAAAACAAGAGCTAAACAGGAGCAAAATATTGATTGATCCATATCCTACAAATAAATACAAAAAGAATAATCACTTCATTTACAATCCACCATCTGTGACACCCAAACACACATAAATTAAGATGTTTACATTAACTATCTGAATATTTCAGACGGTAGACATTAATAAACACAGCGTGAAGACACACATAAGTTCCCCAAAACCCGATCACAGCAGCTCCTCCTCTAAATCACTGCAGGATGAGCAGCATTTCCATCAATGAGGCTCTAACAGACATTTAAAGACCCTCATCAGTCAGTTACACCGACATATAAGGACTGAAACCAGCTTAAAGCAGCACTTACAGCTCTTTAATCTCAGACTGAGTCTCCGTTTCAGAGTCTCCCCCAAACACAACACGCGGTCCTCACGGAGAAATTCGCTCTGAACGTGGACTTTCAGGCTGCTCAGCTTGCCAGGCTGCGTCCCGCCTCCCCGATCACAGCCAATAACAGCATCGTCAGCTACGCCTTCAAGCCCAACCAATGAGGTCGCGGAATCACGGAGCTGCGCTGGGATTCAAAATCCAAGCACAGTAAAGAGCAAACAACAGCAAAATGACAGGAGCAAAGTATTACCGTACACTATTTACAGATTTACAGAAGAAAGTAGAGATAAATAATAGAACAAAATATACTAAACAGTAAGAATAATGTGTCGATGCACAAAACAAAGTGACAAAGTCCAATGTGTAGTTTAAAATGATAGAGTGAGTTTTAGAGACTCCTGTAGTGAATTCCAGCTCACTGTTGCTCTGAGAGAAAAGCAAAATCAGATCTGATGGGTTTAAAAAGATCAGACTCACAGAGGCAGCTTCACTCAAACCAGTAATAATGTTTTTGTAGTCAGATTTTTCGAACACCAAGCAATTTGTTTATGAATTATTCATGATTTATACTGTCACGTTTACCTAGAAAACTTGTCAGTCAATTTATTGTGGTAATAATGCTGTAATATAGTGGATTAAAATGTTCCAGCCAACTTTTGGAACAAACTTTTGTGATTCTTGGCTTATCTCATGAGTCCTTTATGTGAGTGACTATCTGTTCCACAATCATCTACTTAGGAAAACAAATGTGTAAAAGAGGTCATGTCATACTGACCGTGTAGCTGTTTTAGTTTGTTTTAGAACAATATGAAGTACTTCCTGAGAGCTGTGAACATCTTGGCGGGGGGGGGGTGTAGATTAAGAGCTGGTAGGAGTGTCTATAATGGGTGTTGGAGAGCTGTTTAGAGTGTGGTGTAGTATGAGAGCTGTGAATGTCTAGGTGGGGGTTGTAGGTGCATGACTGGCGGATTAAGAGATGATAGGAATGTCTATGGTGGGTGTTTGAGGTCTGTTTAGAGAGGGGGGGTGTAGTGTGAGAGCTGTGAAGGTCTGGCCGGGAGGTGCAAGTCAATGGCTGGTAGATTTAAGAGCTGGTAAGAGTGTCTATGGTGGTTGTTTTAGGTGGTCTGTTTAGAGGGGGTGTAGTGTGAGGGCCATTCAGGAGGTTGATGATCTAGTTCAGATGTTCCCAATCCCAATCATTGAGATCACACACACTGCATATTTTTGTGCTTTCTCTACTCTGACACTCACCATTCAGCATTTAATCAGATTTGCGTGTTTTTCTAATTCATCTACACAAAATGTAAAATTTGATTTAGTATGATAAGTTGGTGTATTGACAAATTTTTCCATACAACAACAATAAGACGTGTATTCTAATCTGGAGGCAGCTGGCCAACTACTCACTGTCTTCACAGGCACTTGTCTCGTTGTCTGGGGGCAATTTAACCACAGGCTGAGGAACAGGCTGCTGTTATGAGTCATATCTGTGGTTTATGTTCAACTTGCACCAGTATTACACATAAACATAAGTATATATACGTTTTTGAATCTTTTCAGTTCACTTACTGTCCTTGTCCACCTTAAGGAACCAGGTTTTTTATTGTATATCAAAAAGAACCCAGAAAAAATGCTCTGCACAGTCAGCATTTCATAAGCTGTTTTATGTATTTTTGCTAGATTTTTGTGCACCTGGTGTAACATTTAGCTGTCAACATTAACATACACAGATTGTAGCAATAAAAGACAAAAGCAGGCACTAATAAGTTTATGTTGTGTTTATATAGAAAAATAATTTATTTCAACTTTTACATAGTCTTGTAAACTACACTGCTTTCATTGTTCCAGGACAACATCACTCTGTAGCCTTAACTACCACTGTGTTTTTCCCCACACATGCTGGAAAACTGAGCTGCCTCCAGCCATTCTGCCTGTATTTTTCTTCCCTGTAAAAGCCCTTCTTCCACAGATCTTCTTCCTTTTCCTGTGAGCTAAATGAGCTAAAGAGATGTGTGTAGACATGAGGTCTCAGTAGACATACAATATACTGCCTGGCCAAAAAAAGTTGCACACTCTAATATTTTGTTTGACAACTTTTAGCTTGATTATGATGTGCATTCGGCATCACATTGTTTCAACAAACTCATGCAACATCACAACATTTATTTCCAAGTAGAGCTGCATTAACATTTTAAAGTCTTCTCCAGCACACCAAGAAGACATCCAGGGGGTTTAATGTCAGGATTCTGTGATGGCCAATTTCTCCTTAAACCGCTCTTTCACAGTTTGAGCCTGATGAATCTTGACTGTCATTCTGGAATGTGCCCATACCATCAGAGAAGAACAAATCTATTGATGGGATAACCAGGTCCTTCAGTACATTCAGGTGCTCAGCTGACTTAATTTTATAGCCACATAATGTTGCTGAGCCCAGACCTGACCACTTGAAACAACCCAGATAACGCTGCCTCCAGACACTCATTCAATGGGCACTATGCATGATGAGTGCATTGCTTCTGGACTCATCATGCATCACATGACCTTTTCCCATGGCTCCAGAGCCCAATTTTTATGCCCGCTAGCAAACTAAGCCTTTTTTTCCTGATTATCTTTACTAACAAGTTGTTTTCTTATGGCCACACAGCTGGTAAGTCCTAAGCCTGTGAGTTCTTGTCGCATTGAGCATGTGTAAGTGCTCTTCTTTTTAATATTAAACACAGCCGTGAGTTCTGCTTTCCATTTTTTACAATTTGATCTCACTAAGCATTTAAGTAATCTTTGATCAGTCATTCAGAACTTTTTTCCTACCACATTTCTTTTATGAAGTTAACAGTTCACTGCTATCCTTCCAGGTTTTAATAATGCCATTCTTAACCCAATTTTGACCCTTTTGAAACACACTAACATCCTTTCCATGGCCACCAAGGACATTGTCCTCCATAGTTGTTTAAGAAATTAGAAGCTATTCAGTTCATCATTTAGGGTTAAAGGAATGGCAGCCATCTGAAACATATTAATCACTACAGTAATTATTCAATCACAATGATCTCGGGCCCAGAAAAGGCTGCAGCTTTTTTGGGTCATATATATAAATGGTTCCTTCTCCTTTTCATGGTAGAGTTTTCTCTGGATTTCTCTGGGTTCTCTGAATCTTTTAACGATATGTACTGTTGACAATTAAATCCCAAAGTTATTTTACATTTAGAAACATTATTGTGAATTGTTGCACTATTTGCCCATGCAATCTTTTAGAGTGGTTGAACTCCTGTCCATCTTCTGAAAGTTTCAGTCTCTCTGGGACGGTCTTGTTACTGACCTGTTGCCAATTCGCATTACTCAAAGTCTTTTTTTATCCCAGTCTCAATTTTTTTGTAACATGTTGCTGGCATCAAATTCAACATGGGAATATATCTTTTAAAAACAATTAAATTATCAGTTTCGATCATTGATATGTTATCTTTGCAGTATTTTCTATTAAACATACAGTTTAAATGATTTGTACATCATTTAATTCTTTTTCATTCATTTTACACCTCATACCATCCTTTTTGGATATGAGGTTATATATATATTTTTTTTTTATATTTACTCATGTCATAGTAAATAACTTGCAAAAGGGTGTGGGAAAACTTTCTCCCAAATATATCAAACTTTTTCCCTCTAGTTGATCTGTTATATGTTCTTACTTCTATGTTTGTTATATCTGCAAATGTTGCCTGATAGCTCTGGATAGGTCTGTTCTCTGTCTGTTGTTTTTCTCTTTACATTTTTCTTCCTTTTTTCCTCTTTTCTTCACCACTTATTTTTTATTGGTATGGAACGAAATGAATGTTATTTAGCCAGCTGACTAACTAATATCTGCTAGATAAGCAAGTTAGCTAACTTGCAAATTTAATTTCTTAGTAACTACTAATATCCAAAGATGACCATACTGGCTGATCAAGGCACTACATTCCTCAAATTCAGCTTTTAGTTAGATACTTATGTTTTGTAAACCAACTGACCCAATTTAGCTAACATTTACAATCACTGCTAAATAATTGCTTGTTGGGTGAAAATGAGCTGGTCAGTCGGTAATAATATTAAATTATACAAAAGCTCTGACTGCTCATCTAATATGGCCTCATAGCCTCTTTTTTAAAATTCTCTTAAACT